TACATTACATTTAATTTACTAAAATGCCTCTATAATTACAACTCTCACGGTGAGGGTATCTTAGGAAAAATGTTATATTTAACTCAATTTTGTATTTATTCCAAATATAAAATTTTGTGAACTTCAATTGAATTCTATAATTTCGTAAATGATTGCAAACATAACAATTAAATTACAAATGAATTTCTAAATGAAGTCACTCATCACTCAAAATTTTAAAAAATGAAATGAAGTTTTAATTATTCTTATGAATTTATTTGAAAATGAAATAAACTTTAATTCATTTGCATATCAAACAAACTGTTAGACTCCTCATTAATATGCTTTGAGTATGTGATTTAATTCTCAAATTATAAAAAAGTGCACTTAACCGCTAGTGTGGTGTGAAAATTTTGTACTTAACAATAAGTGATTGAATACTAAATGTGAAAAAATAAGAAAATGTCCTAATTGTTTTCCCTTTTTTTCTTCTCTCTGGTTGAATCTAATGATATTTTAATGAAAAATGATTTAAAAAATCTTTTTTATATTATCTTTTGATACAACTTTATATATCATTTAAATTATTAACTCTTTTTATTTATTTAAAATTCATGATATTAAATACATCCATTTGTTTAATAATATATAAAATTTGTATAAAAAAATTATATTAAAAAATTATCCTTACATCACTACTCTATTTTAACGTTTCACATTCAATATTTATTTTTTTAAATAATTCAATATTTAATTGACTTGGAGATTTTTGTCCACCTTGTACAAACCACTGAGAATTAAGTGCATATTTTGGTATTATAAGATCAAGTGCGCCAATCTCAATGACAAGAGTTGGAACCTTTGCTCTCCCTCTTCTCCCTTTCATCGTAGGCTTGAACCACTTGCAGGCTACAACAAAAAAAGATCAAGTGCACCAATCTAAACTACATATTCAATATCTCATTTTTTAATTTATTGTAAAGACTAGGGATTAAACTATGGACATATGAGTAGAAATAAATACAATTTTACCATCGAACTATATGGCTTTTTGGTCAATTTCCCCTTTTCTTAATGGTCACAACTCCCACTGTTCCAATTTTAGAACTGATACAAAGGCATTGTAATTAGTTTTGTACACTTTCGTTGACCTTCATTCTAAGTTTTGCACTTAATAGGGTAAAAAATGTTATGCATCGTATCGTAACTACTTTTATGGTTTATATGGTTTAAGAGAAATAAAGAAAATGAAAATGAAAAAAATGAATAAATAAATGAATTAAAAGTAAAAAAATATATAAAATAATTTTTTCCCTTCCCTTTCTGTAAAATTTTTTAATAATTAAATAGAAGAATTGTCTTCCCCTTTCTCACTCTCCTCTCCTCGTGAACCAAATTAACATAAGGATAGTAATTTCGTTTCTTAACTAATTAAAATAATATAATTAAGCCCTTATACATTATATTTGCTGAGATGTTTTACTTCCTCTTTAGGTACAAAGATGATCTTTACGATCGTCTATGGCATCATTATAGTATTCCCGAAGCGAGTATAATCGAAGGGAATGCAAATATCGATATCCAAGCAAGTAACAATATTTATGAAATTCCAATGGAGGTTTTAAACACAGCTGCACAACCACCAAGTCGCTTGGATTCGTTGAATTATTTGTTC